TATTAATAAATAAGATATTTGTTTAGAGAACATAAAGCGAAATTGTATCAATTGCGATATTTATTATTGTAATTCGTTTCTTTTGTACTTGAAGTCTGGAATATAATAAATACAAATACGTCAAAATTTTACAATTACAAATTATTTACATATATATTTAAAGACATTTGTTCATTACGCAATAGAATGTTTTACATAACGTTGCCAAAAAATGCAAAAAAATAATGTATACCAAATTCTAGATTAAAAATATTTTATGCAAATATATTTTTCTCACACAATGCTTCATATAATAAACTTATATTCCTACATACAACATTAAGAGCATATGAATTTTTGTAACTAAGATTTTTTCTTTTTCTCTCTTTTTTTTTTTTTTTTTTTTTTTTTTTTTTTTTTTTTTATTTTTAAGACAATTCAAACAAGATAGTATTTTTATTATATGTTACATTTTATAATGTTTTTACACATGATCAATATTTGAACTTATTTTCTGATTATAATAACTTAATAATATAAACACAAATGAGTGAAGAGGAGCATATTTGGTCAAGGAGAATGTCTAATAATATTTTTGTATGAATTTTCAGTTCAAGCAAACTTGCGTGCCGATTATTTGTTAATTTTGAACAAGTTTGAAACATAGTCCTAAACTATGAAGCCAGGGTATGTAATATCACAAGTTGAATTGACAAACAATTTAATATTATTGTTGTTCAAGAGTGTCTTCAAAAATATTATAAAGAATTTATTGTGAAAAATATCTCGGCCGAAATTCGAGAACTTGGATCTCCCAAAATTCACGAATCTTATCAATTCAATTACTGAGGCTTCATTCAAATATTAGACATTAAGATCTTTAACTCTTAATACATTTTCACTTAATATTGTTAACTCTTCATCATCTCTTAAGAATTTTGTTGGTCACACAGGGAGCAAAATGATCTTAATTCTTTAATTGATTGCTTTTGTTCCTTAAAATCACAAAAATTACTGAACATACTTTAAACATTGTAGAATATGAAAATGCAGTGACTTTTTAAAGTTTTTAATTTTAATATATTTAAAAAAATCGCTAAGAACGCTGAACATCCAAAGAACAATATGCAACCGAAGGTGTAAAAAGAGTATTTTGAACTTAGAATAAATGGCATTTAAATCTCGTTTTAAAAAAAGATCTTAAAAGATCTATAAAACTTCTATAAAACTTTTGGGGTCTCCTGGACTTCCAGTAACTATGAAGGATTAATATAAACTTTCAATATCATTTCATCCGATTAGATGTATAAAGAATATAAATATACATCTAATTGAAATTTAATATAAATATAAAATAATATTTTCTATTAAATTTTTATCATATTCTTTAATTCACTAATTTTTTAATTATATATATTTTTAATTGTATTTTTTTTATATAAATGTTCCAGATAATATTTATAGATATAGTTACACGTTTTAACACATATCAGTTCTACATCTTGCAGGTGGAGCATTGAGTCCACCGGTATCACCAGACTCAAGTTGTTTCAAGAGTCGAAATAATGCGGCTGCTTCCCTAATGCGACTAAATTCCACACAGAATGCTTGAATCTCAATAAATAGTTCTTGCACGTTTATGATCTTATTTCTTATCAGGGACTGCAGAAACACACAAACAAGTCGCACCAGTCGGTTTTGCATGTAACGATCTTTGATAGTCTCGCAAGTGGATATACAATTGCTGATATATAAATGTACAAATTCCGTCGGTAGGTCCACAGTGGTAGTTAATCTATTCACGACCTCCATGGAATGAAGAGACATCTCCATGTTTACCAACACGCTAAAGTATTCAGTAATCTGGCTGGATTGCATTAGCTTCAATAAAACCTCGATGGCTATCAGAGGATTGTTCTCAACCAGATCTGGTAATTTAGGTGGTGTCAATCCAATGTGATAAACGAGCTTTGGATCCTTTTCCAATTCACCGATCAAGTTTTGTTGTTGCATCAAAGTTAAAACATTTTTGAAGGCTTTGCCCATGAGTTTACGTGCCTCAAAGCTGACGCAGTTTGACACGCACATGCTAGGATCATATTCGACCGTAAACTGAGTCGGTTCAGTGATATGGAACCAAGCAATCTCATTGATAGAATGATAAATCGGTGGTACAAGCCTCAGAAACTCTGGACGATAACTCTGCCTACATAGGGGTGGATCACCAGTAGCGAGGTTTTCTATTATATTTCTCACGGTAGCCGCGTCGTATTCTGTTCCTTTGGAGTGATCCATGTCAGGCAGTATTATAGGATTTCCGCATTTGCTAACGGCTGGCAACTCGGACTGATGTTCTGCCAATTGTAGTTGCAAATTGGTCAGATCAATAGACGGTACTGTGGAAAATGAAAATTCATCCACGATCTGGCGTGGTGTTTTCTTGATGACATCCTTCTGAATATAACCCATCAAATTGACAAGTAGGTTCTTCTCACAATTCGATAGGAATGGTATGTGACCAGTGTGGCTGGATGGTTTCGAGCTTCCATTGTTAACGTCCTCCTGAGACTTCAGCATTTGTACAAATACAGAAGCGAAAGGCGTAGAAGCTAATGGTTCTCCTCGATACAAATCGAACAACAACGTCAATGCTACAACACGTTGAGTGTGCTTAGGCAACAAATCAACTTGTTGCAACTGCAGCAGCAATACTGTTCCAACCTTAAAGCGCTCTTCCTTAGGGAAGCTCTGATGCAGTTGATTGCAAAGGTTCTCCAAGGTGGTATCCAAGTTTTCCTCATTGAGGAGATCCAACAATTTCACAATGTCTTTCGAAGAAAGTGCCATTCTTGCTACGTGAACAAAATATTTGTTACCGTATGTCTTTTCTTCGACGAGACACTTCACATTTACTCTGTTGTTGTAATGTCATGTAAACAAAGTGAGAAAAATTTTTTTCTTTTTTTCTCTTACATGGAGATATACGTATTTATGGACAGAGAATTAATAGACAGATATTTTTAACCTATCTATTCTATTTTAAAACAATGTTCTGGAAACAGTTTCGAACAATCCATCGGAACCTGGAACTGTTTTACAGCTGACCGTTTGATCCAGCTGTAAACATACAAAACAAACTAGAGTTTTCCACATAATGAAAGGGATAACCTGGACTTATATTCTGGGGCTAAGAGGCTCCGCACAATAAAAGGAACAGAGAACAGAGAATAAGAATTTCAACCTATCAGAAACTGTGTATTCCACAATACATGATTTCTGATAGGTTAAAATTCTTACTCTCTGTTGTCTGTTCCTTTTATTATGCGGAGTCCTTTACTAGAGGAACTCTAATATCTGTGCAATAACACCGACAACTATCGATAGGCATGTAAAGAAAATGGCCTAGTTTCTACAGAGGGTTTAAATCAGATCAGAATGTAAGAATCAACCAATTACAGTCGAGCATTCCCCTATCATTTGACTATAATAGGGGAATGCTCGATTGTAGTTGGTTGTTACATTCTGATCCGGTTTAAACCCTCGGTGAAAACTAGGCCAATTACGGAATCGCACTCCTGGCATAGTAGTCTCGTGTGCTACTATGTTATTCATACTCTATAGTAATGATACTTGTAGCTGTTCAGTACATAGTTCAAACTATATAATCAATTTTTCTATGAATGCTTTACAACTCTGTCATAGCTCGAAAAGTAAGTTTCGCTGAGTTTGGTCGCTGAATTTATTCTAAACTGCTTATGACAATAGTTCATCTGTTATATTCTAGAATGAATGATCAGGAAATTGTTTACTTTAATTTGTAATTGTAAGTGATCAAATTTATTAGAATATTTATAATTTCATTAGTTAATATCTAGTGAATTTGCTCGGTTTTGTAATTTTCATTTCATTTCAAAATCAATGTACAATCGACTCCCAAGACATTATATGATTATATTACAGTGTATCTTATATATAGTGTCTGATATATATTGTATATTATTTATATTATTGTGTTTATCCGTGTTATCTTGCTGGAAATATCTATTATAGCATATACTAGTAAAAACTGTTAAATTTAATGTGCAATTAATCTGCAAACTAATTATATTTTAACCAGTTGAAACAGTGGAGCATACTAACTATGAACATCGGTATTCAACGTGATCGCGATAAAATGCTAATTAATGTAGTACAAACAAAGCCAGGATTATGGAATACCCAAATGACACTTAGTGAACGGACAAAGGCGAAAAAGAAAGTATTATGGAAAGAAGTTCAAAATATATTAGGTTTGTATAAATATTTACCAAGATATATAAAATAGCAAAGTGCAACAATTATCTATACAATAATACAATCTATTTTAAGAATACGAATTATTTTTGTTTATTGTAGGGTTTATGACTATGGATGAGGCAATGAAAAGATGGAAATATCTAAGAAGTTGTTATGTGCGTTACAGACGGTTAGCAAACACGTATGTTCCAAGTGGATCTGCTGCACAACCGATTAAAAAACTGAAAGTATTCCGCTTTTATGAACTCATGCGATTTATCGATGATTCATTAGAAAATGCACGGTATATATTTTTATATAGTAAATTATCAAGTGATATATTGTAAAAAAAACTAACATTTATTCTATTATGTAACATTATAAATGCTATAATTTCAAATATTTATATGCTATAATTATTTAAAATATTAGGTGTAGTAAAAAGAAATCCATTATTTTTGCATGAAATATTTTGCATGAATGGAAAAATAATGGATTTCTTTTTACTATATCTAATATTTATACAATGTGTATATATATGCATTTTTTTAATATGCAGATTAAATATTTAATAACATTCGATATGTAATAATTTTTTAGAACTGTCAGTGATTTATCCGATTGCGATAAAACTGCTGAAAGTGCACAAGAAGAGGACAATTTTTCAATTGCTTCAACATCAAATAGTTCATGTAAAAATACACCATTATCACGAGCTTCACGATCGGCACAAACTTCAACATCCAATACAATCTGTAAGACAACTTGTAATTTTAACTTTATAACTTCTTAAAGAGTCTTCTTATAGAAATGTAATGAAGACTTTTAAGGACAACAAGAAAATCAAAATAATGTCAATTTGAAGAATGATTTTATATATAAAATTATTCTTAGATCATCTGAGATCTAGAATTTTATCATGACCAAAAAAATGACATAAATTCGGTCAATATGACTTCAAATTGAAATTATTTTGATTGTTCTTCTTAGGCTAGTACATACTCATAGATGGGAAGAGTTTTTGTATTTTAAATTATCTTAAGTAACTGTCATATACCAATCACAGAGCCGTATTAGTATCTTATAGGATTTACCTTAAGATAGCCTTAAAATAAGAATTGATTACAAGTCATAATCAATCTAGTTATCCATTCGATAATTTTTTATTCTAATTTTATCTTCTATTTTATCTTCTATTTTAAAAAATATTTTGGAATTCCAAAATATTTCCAGAAAAAACTTCAGAATATTCTGAAATCTTCAGAATCATTCAGAGTACAGATTTATTGACTGTAATTATAATCTGTGATTTCTTTTTATTAATTTAATAAACTTTATTATTACAGCACATGAAGCTTTTACGTCGGAACTACGAAACGAGTTTAAAAATGTTTTAACTACTCCAGTTCCACTAAAGGATGCCATTGATCATTTTGTAGCTTGCTTAGCAGATGAGATGCGAAAACTATCGAAACAAAAATGTCGTCAATTACAAATAGAAATTTTGAAACTACTTGCAGAGATAGAGAAAGAGAAAACCAAAGGAAAGTCAAAGCACAGAAAGAGGAAGTCAAATATTTAATTCATTCGATATAATTAAAATTATTTTATATCTTTGTTTATTTCAATATTAAATGCTATTTTAATTCTATTTATTTTAGTTTATAAAAAATTAATATTGAATTATTTGTTATTTTAGGGCGTGTTCGAAAATTCTATTCGAGAATTTCCGAGGATCATTTTATCCTTGTTTAACATTTGATGAAGAACAAAATAAAATGATACTCGGAGACAGTCGGGTAATGTTTTCAAACGCTTAATGGTTTTCTTGAGTTTATCAAAATTTTTTATAATTTTTTATATTTCTTTCTATGTGTATACACGAATAGCTTTTTCGGTCCATATTTATAATCGCTTCGAGATCAATTAAACCTGCCGAAAACGTTATCCATATATACACATATAAAGAAATATAAAAAAATTATAAAAAGTTTTTATAAACTTTAGAGAATCATTAAGCGTTTGAAAACAATCCGAATGTCACCGAGTACCATTTTACCCTTGTATATAATGTTAATAAAAATTACATATTTTAAATAACAGTTACAAAAAATGTTGATATATGAAAGTGTGATAAATCAATTTTACATTCTATGACACGTTTATTTTATTTTTTCATGAAATATACAATCTATGTAGCATACTTTTTTTAAATAAAATGAATAATAAAAAACATTTGTATTTTTTAATATTTTAAAAATTATTCTGTAGAACTTTCTCTCACTACCATGGAATCGCACCCGTAATTTTAAAAAATATTGTAAAATTATCTCAATAAATGAGAATGGATTGAAATGAATTGAAATGGATTCAGATTTTCAGAAATATTGATTCACAAATGTTAAAATGAATGCTTTTCCTGAATGCATTTTTATTCATTTATAGGAATTGCATGGAGCATATCTCTATGCTTTTCAATCTAAAAATAATATTAGTTTTTTTCTGTGCATAACACATACATTGTGAATACTGTATCCAATTCAAAATTTTGGAAATGTAGTTTTTCCAATTGAATCCAATTAAATCCAAAAAATATTTGCTATTTAAAATACGCATTCGGATAGAAAAAAATTTGAATCCATTTTAAAATGCTTTTTTAAGTCGGTTCTACATTAGTTGCAAGCCAATCTCAAGTTTGTTGCGACAGTTAATTTGAAGCTTGCATTTTGAAATCGACGCTTCATATTGGTCGCAATAAACTTGCGATTAGCTTGCAACTAATGTAGAACCGACTTTATGCATCGCTAAATTGCTCGAGATTAGGACTAATTGTTCTATCTTTTGATAAATTTTATCTGTTAGATAAATCTGACAATCCGCGCATGTGATTGGCTAATCTTGCTATTTACCCAACAGGTAAAATTTAACAAAAGATGGAACAATTGAGCCTTAGCTCATCAATCGCTGTTTTTTTTTGCTATCATGAAAATAAAATGCGTAATGGAAAGTAGTAATTACACTACGATTGACTTTCATTACCAATTCTTTTTACTCCAAATCATAATGTTCTTTACTGCCAAGTATAGTGAGTAGTATAGTTGCGCTGTTAAATATATACAGGAATAGCAATGAGTGGCAAAAGAAATATTTAGAAATTATGAAAAGGTAAGAAGAGATTAGGAAGAAAATGTTTAGTGCAGCATTTATTGCAATTATGTCTGCAGATAGAAAAACATCCAAAAAAAGAAGATATTGGAGGACCCCTGTTTGTGCAGAATGGAAATTGTATGGTTTGATAAAATAAATTCAAATTGTAGCGATTATCGCCTATTATCGCTACAACTTTAATCAAATCGAACTATAGAAGCAACTGACAGCGACGACTTTCAAGCGACTGATGGAGTCACGTGACTCTCCGTTCGCTACAAAAGTTGCGACTAATCGCCGCCATGAAAAAGTACCTTTATATTCCCATCATGGCAGCATCCCGGTGCAGTTGATCGTGTCAATTGGTGTCAATTACGGTCACGGTCTGGATTTCATGATGAAGAGAGTACATTTCGCGTCATCCTTGGAATGGGAAGGAACAGGTGACATGATTGACGAACGTTTATATAATTCTACCGCGCAACAAACGAACGATTACGCGCATCTGCAACTGATTAATCTTCCCGATGTTTGCTTGGAGGCGATTTTGTCTAACCTCTCCTACGATGAAATTTCTAAATATAGGATCGTAAGTTCGCTCTTTAATCCACGAGGAGGATTCTTTTTCACTTCCTTATATACTTCGCAAAGCATAGATTCCACAATGTGTTTTTTAGGTTTGCAGACAGTTCGATCGAATCTGTAAGAAGCTGCTCAACCGTGGCTTCAATCTCATGGAGAAATATCATGCACAATGCCTCCGCACTGTCAAAAGCAAGCTGCCAAGAAGGGAGTCCGAGCGACGGAGTCATCCTCTCGCGCGTCATTGCGATATCTTGACGGCAATAGAAACGAGAATCTCTATGCTATCAATGACTTTTATCAAATATGTTGATTTGAATGTTTGTTGCTTTATACCAGGAAAGGTAAAGGGCTGTGTATAATCAAAGAAATAAGGAACAGAAAACAGAGAAAAAAAGCTTTAACTTATTAGAAACTACATATTCCTTAGTACATAGCTTCTGATAAATTAAAATTCTTGTTTTCCATTCTTCCTATTTCTTTAACTATAAGTAGCATCTAATAGATTCATAAATAATTTGTTATCATAAAAAATTGTTTCTATATCAATACTTGATATATAAATATTTGTTATCTTTAGGTTCCTATTCTCTCTTAACAATTACATTGTTATTGTTTAGGTTTTACATATAAAAAACTATAGCAATGATAATAAGTCTGTTTTTTTTATTTATATTTTAGATTGTTCTAAAACTTTCTTGCTTTCTCCAAATATCAGATATATATCTATTTCATTTTGAATTCTAAAATGGTTTGTTTACTTTGTATGCTCTAACATGTTCCAATATGCTCCTACTATGAGTGTTTTTCAATTGCTTAACACAGATACATAGGAATGCACAAAATATAACATTGTGACATGATTCAATTGGAACAGAATGTGCACGATTGAGATCCATTTTGGATAGAATTAGATTAAAGCTTTTCCATCTGTATTAAAAATGAGTAAAAGTAAAAGTGTTGGCCATTTGATGTCCTCCAATCTCATTTATAGCCACCGGAGTTAGTAATTGTCATTAGAAAACACAAGCTTGTAATGTTATGTTGACGATAACAGACAATTAGAATGCAACTTTTGTCGCTGTGTGCACGAAAGTCTAGGAATGGCAAAGCACTCTATAACTCCTACTCTTTCTAATAAATGTGTTGGAATATATAAGATTCTATGATAACAACATATTGAAGCATGTTGGAGCATGCAGTGTGAACAAACCTAAAGTGTATTAATTCAGCCACAGAAAACATCTTGTAAGAATACTAATAACTATTCATTAAGAGTTACAGAATAAAGATCTTATAATACTTCTCATATATTCCAAGAGACAAACTCTTATTCATGTTATACTCATTCAACTTACAAATATAATATTATTGAATAAGTATGTTGCATTATGTTTTAGGTAATCGATGAAATTTTCCGTGTTCTTCGATTGATTCGAGAGACCAAGACACCACCTAGAGCACATGAGATACTTCAGGAACTACGAGATATAAGCAGCATGGCCATGGAGCATTTTGATGAGAAAATCCTGCCAGATCTAAAGCACAACATTTGCACGTCCATGGTTGGTACTGTAAATTCATATGATTTACCTGGTGGCGTCATGATCTCCCATGGTAGGAACATAAATAATTCCACACTGCCGCATTGCAACAATCATAATATAACCTGCTCTGAGAAGCTTAATCAAACTTTTAAGAAAATTAATGATCGTACGAAAAAGAATAAGATGTTCTTTTTATCTATGAGAAATGAAATCACTAGAATGAGACTCAGGATACAGAGACAAGAGTATCTGGTGCGACAGCAAACTTTAAAGTTACATAAACAGGCAAAAAAGATACATGATCAAGACACACTGTTAGCCGAGGTGCGAAAGCATCTCGAGGAATGGGAGCAGAAAATGGTAGATTTGACTACCGAAGTGAGTCGTGCACGGGAAGGAACTCAGAATCCCGATTCGTTAGAAAATCGCAAACGGAAAACACATATTATCAACACCGATGCTGAGCCGCTTCAACAGACGAACGAATTGCAAGCTAAGAAACGCAAGCTCATAGTAGAAAGAAAAACGTCAAGCGACGCGAAAGACGTAAAGTTCAAACAATTTATGTCGAATTTACTTTCGAAGTCTACATTAGATGGTTATCTCATCGATTCATCATGCCCACGCTAATTTGGCCCATTTTACAATAATAGTTCAAGTGTGAAGATTTTTGCAGAATTATTATACTCTTTATAAAATGCATTTTTTAATTGTTGTGGCGAAATAGATATAATGATTACAACGTACACTCGGTACACTTAAATTTTAACTTGTTAAAAATTACTTTCAAGTAATACTTGTAAGAAAGTTTAAGCGTTAATTTTGTTTATAAAATTGCTTCTTGTCCAGTTATAGGAAACAATATATAAACTAATTTTTTGTTGGGTTTATTAGTGCTTTACTTAAGATTCCTGTGTATCCGGGATATGTACATATATATCGAGCATTCTATGTTAAGTGATCCACCCTTTTTCGTGAGGAAGGATTTCTTATTTTGATGTAATAGGAAGGCTTTTGACATGGAATGTTTAATATATAGATATTTTGTTAATATATATATATA